TAAAGATCATGTTCCATGAAGATATTTTGTAAATTTCTTACTGTAACTTAATTAACTTAATTTTTGATTAGTAATATGCATTGCTAAGAACTTCATTTGGACAACTTTAAAGGCAATTTTTTTCTCAATATTTCGATTTTTTGCACCCTCAGATTGCAGATTTTCAAATAGTTGTATCTATGCCAAATATTATTATATCCTAACAAAATGGAAAGCTTATTTATTCAGCTTTCAGATGATGTATAAATCTCAATAAAAAAAAATTAATAAATTGACCCTTATGATTGCTTTTGTGGTCCAGTGTCACATTTTTCTGTAACATATCTTTGTTAGCGTTGAGTCTTGTGGTTGTTCAGGATCCAGAACTTAAAGCTGCTGTATATTCATATCTTGAAATTGTTTCAAGTTGTCTTTGGTTCTGTTATTTCCATGAACAAGAAGCTTTAATAGTCCTTAAAAGTGACAAAGTCAATTTAGATTTAACATTAAATCAATATTTCACCCAAAAACATAACTGTCTCATGTTGTAGTATTTTTTTTAAGCATGACATGAGCATTTTGTATTTTTAAGCATGACATTTGTAGCCATACTTATATAGTTTTATTAAAACTACTTAAACTCTGTGGACCCGGATACGGGTCCAAAATCGCGTTAAAAATGTTTATGCTTCATTTACATAGCCTTCCTTATATGGTATCAGCCCATATATGGGTTCATAGTAACTCCCCTATGATCACAATGATCAGAAGAGCATTTATGAAAGCAGAGATGAAGATAATTTTCAGGGATACTCCAGTTCGTCAGACCCAATCACCTCACACACCAGTTCACAATCACCTGATCACCTGTATTAATCAGCCGCACCTGTCACCAGCTCATCAACACAAGCACAAATACTCAGTCACTGCAGTTGCACTTTGTCTGGTCGCGATTTTCACTATGCTACTCCTTACCTGACTCCCTTACCTGGAATATTACCCATCTCTCTTCATCTGAGTCATCATCCGTCTATCCTGTGAAAGACACTTGAAGCAGTTATCACGTGAGCATATCTCTGCAGTTGCTGGAACTCTCTGCTTCTCACCCGTTCTCTCCACATCTCTCCCCTCATATCCTCTGTTCAAATAAAGATCCATACTTGCCTGTACTGTCCCGTTTGGTCTCCTTCTGTATTGTGACAATAATAATCTGCCAGTGTGTCTGATTATTCTCAGTGTATTTCAACACTGTATGATTCTAGATCTCGAGTTGGTTCTCTGCAATCATTGAAAGGGTTTATGTTAATATTTAATATTTTGTGTCTAACAATGTAAAGTATTTAACTTGGTGTTGATCAGTGAACGTTCACTCACCAGTGATGTGTAGTCTGGTGCCGTTGCTGTATTTTGGAGGAGATTCTGTGGTCACACAATAAAGTCCTAAATCACCAGGAGTAACATTATTTATGAACAGACAATGTGTACTCTGCACTGAATATTTCTGTTTAAAGGTTTTATTGTAGTTAAAAAATAGCTGAAGTTGTGGAAGAGAGTAACATCAGAAATGGAGGATCTGGTAGTTTCAGTAATAACCCGTTAACCTCATTTACATCAAGATCACAGTTTATAGTCACATTTTGACCCAAATACGTTAAATGATCTGTTAAAATCTCTGCAGCTCGACACCATATGAACAGATCTGTGAAATAAAGCACACGCATATATAAAAGTATTTGAAATGTAATTGTGTCATAAAACAAGTCAGTTTATTAATTTACAAAGCACGTTATAATAGTCATGAAGTACAATAAACTCACAGAGAAGGAGCTGCATAATCTTCAGGATGTTAAAACACTTCATGATTCAGTCTCGTTTCTTTCACACGACTTTAGAGATGAAACTTTACCTCAGAGCTTTAAAAATAACAGGGTAATTTTAACCACAATCAAGAGGAAGTTTTGCTCTGACCACACGTGTAGTGTTTTCTTTTATTGGTTCAAAAATCAACCATTAAGCTCTTGTCTTCTTTTTTCAAGTATTAATCTCTAATTTTATACTTGTAATGGTCACACTTTATTTTAAGGTCTAATTCTCACTGTTAACAAACTGACTTTTGCTTCAAACTCCTAATTTGATGCTGATTAATAGTTAAGGTAGTTGTTAAGTTTAGGTATGAGGTAGGATTAAGGGATCTAAAATATGGTTTTGCAGAATAAGGCATTGATATGTGCTTTATAAGTACTAATAAACAGCCAATATTCTAGTAATATGCTTGCTAGTTAACAGTGAGAACTGGTCCTTAAAATAAAGTGTTACGCCTGTAACATTTAAATTTGTGAGTTGTGTTTAGTCTAGTTTTGTTCATAGTTCTCTGTTCGTTGTGGTCAGATGTTGCTACTACTCTTATTCTGTTTCCTACTGAAATGTTTGTTCTGTTTTATGGAATTGAATAAGATGAGTAGAATAGGAAGTGTGAAACTCAAAAGTAAAATAAGTGTGCATTTGTTCATAGTGGTTTGTGTTCATGTTCACATGAGTTTAAACCACCTGCTGCATAAGAGTGTATACCATTGTGTCGTCTATCAAGTGACCAAACCAGTGGAACATTTCATTTGCACGAAACCATGTGTGTAAACCACAAACAAGAGCTGTGCAGAAGATAGAAGTTTCAACATGTACAACAATATTCAAAACTGTTAGTGTGAAAGCTAAAAAAAATTTAAAAAAAAATCTCTTTAGTACATTTATTGAGGTTTGTGTCCTTGATTTCCAGCTTTATGGCAAATAATAAAACACAAAACTGCAGAAGTAGCAGAAAATTCCAAGATTACATAAATTGGGAAGAAATGGTGCAATAAATGAAATGAATGTTCAGAAATGTTTAATGAAAGTTGTTGCAATGGTAAAAAGCTGATTCATTTCGACCACAATGCGTATTTAGATATAGCAAACTTATAATTTTGCAAAATATAGCAAAATATAATTTATGAAAAAGAAAAAAAACTCTTGTCCTGACACTAAGTTCAAGTTTCCTATTAGGCCAAATAACCCATTTAAAAAATAATAACAATACATTTTAGTTTGGTGGCACAATTTCTACATATTTACATCATACATTGTCTGTATAAGACAGTCTTACTCTGCTCCTGGTTCAGCTTGATGTTACCAGCACACATAGAAAAATCAATTTCAGCACACTGAAAGGGGAAGATATTAAACATCAATGGCCTTATACGGTATTGAAAGAAAAATATAAGATAACATTTACTGAAGATGTATCTTACCTGTAGGTTATTAGAGTTTTTAGCTGCAGTGTAATTCATTGATCTTCCAGTAACATTAATGTAGCTCTTCACCATACCTAAAAAAATATTCAAACATCACTCAATACACATTACAACAGTCGAAACAAAGTGCACATGTGATACACTGTAAAAAATGATTGTGATTTTAACAGTAAAAGACTGTAAAAATGCTACAGTAAAAACCTGTTAATTGGTTAACAGTAAGTTTCCATAATATATTCGGTGAATAAATGTAATTACATTTAACGTAATTTTACAGTAAAATACTGTAAAAAATACGGTCTTTGGAAGTGAAAAAGAAAAAGTCATTGTATAATTTACAGTGACAAACTGTAAATTGACACTCCCAGAATTCCCTGCATGACACTTCATATTTGATGTTTTTTGTTGAAATGTTTTTGTTTGACATGTTTTTTCTTAGTTTTTTTCTTATCAGTTGTGTACATTAGGGTTTAATCTTACATGTAATGTTGTTAAATTAATGTTTATTGCATTTTTTCAGAATCATGTGTGTCACCATGTTGGGGTTTAGTGTTTGTGTGAATGACACTGTGCACCTTCTATGTATAAGTACTGCCCTCCTCAGCTCTAGAAAAGCTGTTTGTGATGAGCGTTGGTTCCTCATGTGACTTTCTCATCACCACCAGTTTTTGGTGGTTATCAGTGCATTACAATGGTTCAAAACAGATATTAGTACTTCAATATTTTGGTTTATTAACATTAAATCAGTTAATTAAATTATTGTGAATTTAAGTTAAGTCTGTAAAACCTAAAATGTTGCTACCATATTTTTTACGGTGAAGTTCTGGCAACCACAGCTGCCTTATTTTACCGTAAATGTCACAGATTTTTGTTACAGTGTATTGTTACATTAGTGTAGAGCTAATGTTTGTTTTTTGTAGTTAGTTCAATGAGGCCTGTACAAACCTATTAATGCAATGATCAAAAGCACATTCAGCAGGACAGATGTGATGATGGGCAGGTTTCTCCATTGTGTCTCATGTTGTGAACAATCATGTGATTCTGTCTGATTCCTGTGGACCGAGTCTGTAAAAGTTTTGTAGTTCAATCTTTATTCATTTTCAGTCTTTAACAGTGTAATGAAACTGCAAAAATATCAGTTCTTCATAAAAGTACAAAGTACTCAATATGGAAATCCATAATATGGTTTAAAAATACATCTGAAATGAGAAAATAACTCACTGCTGATGTAGATTTTAGTGCCATTGCTGAATTTTTGTGGTTCACTAGTTTTCACACAATAATAAACTCCTAATTCATCCGTGCTGACATTTCTGATGAGCAGACTGCTGTTAGTTTTCACTGAGTATTTGAGTTTGAAGATGCTGTTTTCATATTTAGCTTTTTCATATGTGCTATCATAAGTGCGTAAGATCAACACTGGAGGATTCGGTGATTTCTGTTTGTACCAGTAAATCTCCTCTATATCAAGATCACAGCTTATAATCACATCAGCTCCTAAAGTTACTGCGGTGTTTGTTAGACTCTCTGCAGCTTGAGACCACATCAACAGATCTATGAGAGAAATAAAAACACATTTTTTCAGAAATTTTAAATAAACCTATTTTACTGATTGAATCAAATCTAATGTTATAAACTCACAGATCTGGAGCTGTATGATCTTCATCATCTGATCCAGATAAATATCTTCTATACTGTGATCATTCAAACATCTCTTACTGTGAGCGGAAACACTATGAAACCTCGACCACACAGATGAGAGAGGAAGTCAGAGCTTTTCTGACAGGACTTCAACCATCTTTAGGCCTGTAACCTGAATGCACTAAATGCAGTTTATAAAAAAAATTAAAATACAAAGATGGTCTCGTGGGCAGTACTTTCAAATAACAACAAATATGCATAATTATATTAGAATTGTGAATTTCAAATTCAGATTACACAGTTTGTCAAAAAAGAACAATTCAGTGCATTCAGAAAGAGTTCAGACCCCTTCATTTTTCAAATTTTATTGCATAAAGCTTTATGCAAAAATGCTTTATAACATCATTTTTTTGTATTATTACATATTCCATAATGACAAAGCAAAAAAAAAAAACAGATTTGCAAATTTATTAAAAGGAAATAAACTAAAATATCACATTGACATAAATATTCAGACCCTTATGACATTTGAAAATTAGCACAGATGCATCACAATTTCTCTGGATCATCCTTACAAACAATTGTGACTACATTCAAGAAAGGCACAGCAGGCAGCAAAATTTGGCAATACAGAAAGCTCAGATATAGTACACACACAAAGAAAAAAAAAAAGTAAGAAAACTCAGTTTTCACATTTTTCACTATCAGTGTTAGTTTGTGTTCCTCATGCACAAGTTTGAACAGCTCCTAAAGTTACTGCTATACTCTAGACTCTTTGTGCACGTGAGACCAAGTGTGCCGCATAGGGATGGGCATATCGTTCCTGAAGTATCGATATATCGATACTGACGTGAGTATTGACAGTATTGATACTCAAACAAAAAATATCGATACTAAGGTGTGTTTTATATCCCAGTAATTTTGTTTATTTAACAAAAAATTAATGCGTACAATATGCATTGAATTGGACGAATAACGTATGTTAGAGAATAATTGTGTATGATACTATTTTCCTGCTCATCTGAATGTTACAAGACAGAACCAATCAATCACAGAGCGTGTTCACTCACTTTTGACAGTGCATTCAAACAGGGCTGTGTTTCCCAAAATATCAAAAGAAAGCTGATGCTTTTGGAAACGGCAGCCCAGAACAATGCTTATCAGAGGACAGAAAAAAACATATATGTTTGAGTTATTTCACAATAAACAAATTGAAATTGTAGCATACATAGTTTGTGCAATTACATTTATTTAAATTGAACGTTGAAAGATAATATTGATCATGTTCTATTCTGTAATGTTAATATAAATCATACACTGTCAGAATAAAAAGGCTGCATTTTATGCATGCAACAGCCAGTCACTGGCGCAGTCCCTTACTAAAGTGACCATAGTTCAACTGTAGTATTTGTAGATTTGAATCATTTGATTTGAATTAAAATGTGTTTCAAATATAAAGTTAAGTGGTTTTTATTACCCATTTTAATCTAAGTAATTTAATAATTTAAAAAATGTCATCATTCAAAAGTTTCATTTAGAAGTATTGTATCGGTATCGATATCGACGATACTGGCCTTGAAAAGTATCGGTATCGTATAGAAAACAAAATAAGTGGTATCGCCCATCCCACTGCACAAGTCTTGAAAAGTGAAGCCAGAACTTTTCAATCGCCCCCAGGTGACTGGATGCAGTATAGGTCATAAACCCTGCCCTCTCCTTGTAATCTAAAGGGACGTCAGACAAATAATCGAATTACACTTCAAATAATTTTTTTCCAAAGATGTTTTCTGTCATTTTAGGTAGTTCTTAGCATGCTCCCAGCAAACACATTTATGCTGTGGCAATGTCTGTGCAACATACCATTTTTATAAAGGCAACTTCGCCATCTATGTGCTTGCAACATTGTAACAACGTAGAAATGTAAGACACGAAAGGGCTGTAGCAACGTTGTTACGCGACATTCAGCAACCGTGAGGCGCCATTTTTACTACATGTATTTTTTATGCCAGATTAGAAATAGTGCCTTTTCTGGGTGTTATATCAAACACGGGATAAGTATGTAATACTTTTAAATATATTTAGTTATTAATTAATATTGTTCTTTTTAACTTAACATCTGCTTGTGTAAACTTTAAAGAGTAAGAAATGCCATAAAAAATCATATAATCAAACTTTATTTCATACTAAAACATTTCATACATACAATGGATTTCTAAGTAGTCTATAAGTTACCAAAAGGTAGCCTATTCATTTGAAAAAAAAAAAAAATGTTATATAGAGTATATTAAGTAAATATATTAAGTCGTGTAGTTTAAGCATATTCAATTTCAAATAAAAAAGCAAAGGCAGTTGAGAATGTTTATTAAACAAAAGAAAAGCAACTGAAACAGCGGCCACCGGCCGATGAGGCGGAGTCTGGACGTGAGAATACAGCAGACAATGGAGCGCAGTCAAAGGCCTGGCGAGATGGTCGGTAGGAAGAAAACAGTCCGAGAAGATCCACAAATCCAGAGAGCAGAGGCAAATGCAGAATCCAGTAGGCAGGCACAAGTCAACACCAGGCATCAATCCAGTAACACGGATGCACGGCAGGCACATGTAAAACTGGGCAGAGAGCAAGAAAGAGCAGATCAGAGCAGAGCCTGACACGACAGGACAGAACTTCACAGGAACTGACTAGTGACTAGCGTGAGCAGACACGAGAGTAAGGATATCTGAATACTGAAAGAATTACAACTAGCATTTTAGACCAAACCAGATCGCAAACACCCTGTATATATAAATTATCATGTATTCTGTTCTTTCAGTTTATTAACAGAACTAATTATTGTCACATTAGATGGAACGTTTGTTTGAATATTTACGTAGCCTATCTTATTCAGCTTGGAGAAATAAAAAGCAAAACTCGCGTATCTTCGATCGATGAAGAATGAGAAGGACTAACTGTCGGTTTAAATTTAAAAGGCTGATATTCGATGATGACAGGTACATGTTGTACAGTGGTTGTCCAGGCAGCCTAAGCACAACTTTAAGCTACGGCCCTGAATGATGGTTAAATGTCAACATTGTGACAGCGTTGTAACAACCTTCACCAACAACGTAGAACCCTCAACGTTTTAGCAATGTTGGCGCAACGTTCTGTGTTTGTTGGGCTGATGTCTGTTCAAGTGTTCATTTTTCTACTACGTTTGCTTTTAATTAGTTATTTGATGCTAAAAAAACGGGGTGTGGTGTCATGATTGTGAGCTTGCGATTGGGTCTCGTGAGTTTGGGCGGGACTTTGATTCCACGGCTCCACCTCACGATCACTACTGCGCAGACTCGGGCTCCAAATGACGTCATTTTCGCAAGATGACAGCCGCCATACTGAGAATGTTTTGGCTTCACTTTTCTATAGTGGAAGGAAGTGAAGATGCTTCGTCCTTCTTTTTTGCAGTCTATGCTTGAGACCACATCAACAGATCTAAAACAGAAAGAAAAACACATTAAGACATAAAATCTAAAGAACACCCATTTAATGAATCAAATGTGATGTGATAAACTCAGATGTGAAGCTGTATTATCTTCATTTTCTGATCCAGATGAATCTTCATTCAAACATCTCTTACTGTGAGCGGAAACACAATGAAACTTCAAGCACACCGAGAAGAGAGGAAGTCAGAGCTGGGCTTCTCTGATAGGCCTTCTTTAGCCTTCTTAGCCCTGTAACCTGAATGCACTATATATATGTTTATTTTCACTCAGCTCAACTGATTATTTCTAAAACTGTTTAAAATACAAAAAATATGTAAATGACATGATGCAAAAATGATAAAACTTTCAATTATTTTGAAACAATCCTATGCATAATTCTAAGACTCTAGTACACTGGACGTGACAAAGCGACCATTGAAAATCATTTGAAATTTGTGTCAATATCTCATAAATAGAATGCAGCAGCAGTTTTCTGTCGGGGATTTGTCGCGCTGCGCCACATCTGTGCGGCAACTATAGTTACCGGTGGGCAAATATGTTGTATGCACCACTTCAATGTCAAATTTGAATAGGAGGAGAGCTTTTGCCATCTAACTCAAAATAACTGCTTTCAACAGATCAATCTTTATTCATAAACAAATTTATTATGCATAAAAGTCGAAGAACATTCGATGCAAACCCAAAAAAGTTGCATCTAGCTTATAATCTCCTGAATATGAAAACACAACAAATCAATTTGTTTTAAAGCGGTGGAACATAGTGCAGAACAAAATGCAGCCATTAAGTTGCCCCAAAATATTACATCTATATAATAAAAAAAAGGTATACCTGAAAGAAAATTGCGCATTTTTTAGGCCCATAGTATTCAATGGCTGACTATAGTAGGCGATTTCATATAATAATGTAAATGTAAACTCATTACTTGTCTGAATTTCAACATTATAATGGAATCATAAGCTACTAGTCATAAAAAGACTTAGGGTCCTTGACCAGTTAGAATGAAACGCATCCAAACTGGATAAAGGGGCCTCAATATTTTGCCCCTTACAAGACATAATATCATAAAAGGGATAAAAAGATAATCTACAGCAATTAATCCCATGCGTTATCTCTTTATCTTTCCATTCTTCCTTTTGTGTGACTGACTAAAGTTTTTAAACTGCTGCTGTCACTTGAAAACTGGAAATCCACCCCCAAGTTGACAGCCTCATGTGACAGGAAGGAAGTGAATACCTTTTTTTGTTTCTTTAAATCCTTTATTTGGTTGTTTGCTTGCATGTCATTGAGACATAAAACGTGGATAACATCTATAAAAATACTTACAAAAGGAAAATGACAACTATAAACTGCGGCTACTATAGTTGCCGGTGGGCTTAAATTGATTAATTTCAGTGCTTACATTTGATGAAAATATAGCAATTCAGTGCATTCAGAAATTATTCAGACTCCTTAATTTCTTTCACATTTTTTTATATCATATAATGTATGTAGCAGCCTTACGCTAAAATTCTTTATAATATGTGCTGCACTCTATGGATAATGACAAGCCAAGTTAATTTCTGCCACCTACTGGAGTGTGAAGCGACAGT